CTTTACATAATCCTAAGACATGACTATTAACATGACTAAGACATGACTATATTTCGATAATTTCAGAGATATCAATAAATAAATAAAAATTATATATTTTTCAGCATTTCTTAAAAAAAATATTAATAATACAAGAACTGTCCTGAAATCAAAACTACATAATATTAGTTATTTACTTTAGATAGTCTGTACTTACTTTGCTATAAATATGGAAATCGTAAATCATACAGGATGTTCAAAATTCTACGCCAAACTTTTTAAAATATAAAATCATTTTTCTTTGTTTTTTTAAATGGAACACCCTGTATATTATTTTTTCAATAGATGGAGAATTAAAAAATGAACATTTTTTGCATTTAGAGTATTTCAAAATTTGTAACGGTTTCGCAGATATTCCCGGTTTTGTATTTCATATGGCATTTTCCACAGTAAATTTTTATCAAAGCCACCCAATGATTTTTCTCTCGTATGGCCATAATGATATAATACTACGTGTATCCGGAAAACTATTAAAAATTTTGAAATACTTTAAATACAACATATGTCCATTTTTTAATTATCCCTCAAATAAAAAAATAATATACAGGGTGTTCCATTTAAAAAACCAAGAAAAATTTTATATTTTTGAAAGTTTGGCGTAAAATATTGACTGATGATTTTACATCCTGAATGATATATGATTACCATATTTATAGCAATGTAAGAACAGACCATCTAAAGTAAATATCTAATATAGTTTTGATTTCAGAACAGTTCTTGTATTTTTAATATTTCTTTTAAGAAGGGTTGAAAAATATATATTTTTGATTTATTTTTTAATATCTCTGAAACTATCGAAATAGATTTACTCATATCTTAGAATTATGTAAAATGATCTTAAAGGAAGCCAAACATGCAATAATATACGGGGTGTTCCATTTAAAAAAAATCATCCAGATCCACTGACACTTTTTTGAGCCACCCTATAGAAGTTAAAATATTTTCCGGAAATACATCCTGGTACATACTTTAGGTGTGCAATTAAAGAAAATTCTCAAGTTTTTTATTCTAGGAGCTACAGATGCCCGACGCACCATTGCCGGACCCTGTATAACTATATTATTAACAATAATGCAAAACTACTGTCATGAGAACTCAATAAATAAAAAAAACAGTTTACAAAACGCTTCTAAACAGGTGGAATACCGTTCCGTATATAATACGTTACGAATACCGTATCGAATGCGTTTCTAAAAAATTTTATATTATACCATTAAGTTTAGAGTAGGTTTGTTCCAACCCGCCGCAGAACCGTCACCGAACGATCACGCTCGTGCGCAGTAATTCAAATGTGTTCCAACCGAGATTTGACGGTTATCGGACGATCCTATTTGCGTACCAACCTACCTTGGGATCGTTTAGTTACGATTTCAGAACGATAATTTCGATACATGGTAGCTTTGTTCGGGTTTTTGTTATTACCGATTCTGAACCGTCCTAGAACTCGGCAGCGCATGCGCAAATGAAATAATGTCTTCATATTTCCTTCTGCGCATACGCATCACAGTTCTAGGACGGTTCAGAATCGGTAATAAGAGAAACCCGAAGTAAGCTGGTTCAAATTGAGAACTGTTTGGGTTGACTTGCGCTTTAAAGCATATTGGCAAGGATTATCGATTTTTAACAGCTGATAGGTAATAAGAGAGGATAGGTAAGCGAGTTAGTGAGTATACAGTTGAAACAACACTTACCAACAATTACTGGATTCTGATTCTCCATTTCAAGAATAATAATTATTATTATTGCAAATTGCGAACAAAAATAATATGGTTATGTTATGAAATTCTAAACAAAAACAAAAAAACCGATCGATACACGCATACTTGACACTTTTGACAGTCCCGAAAACAATCCACAAAGCGTTCCAACGTTGATACTTTTTGCACCGTTACGAAACTATTCGAAGTCCGCGCATGCTAACAAAGTGCAAGACAACCGATTCAACTACGATTTCGAAACGATCCCGAAATGCTGGTTGGAACAAACCTAGTGTAAACTTTGAATGTACCACAATTTGACTTTACTATCGCATCTAACGAAGCACATGAAACTGAGAAACCACTGTATACAACAGGCAAAGCTTTTAACCGGTTTTCTAATTGATCCTAATAAAAACACTATTGAAATTGATTTTTATTGTCATATACCAAATGAATCATTCAAAAAAATTAAGTGTCCACACTTTTTTAAAAAAAGAACATTCTAATCAATTAATTACATAAAAAAACATTAACTATACCGGGTGCGTCTGAAAAGTGGCTCACCCCTATAACTTTTCTATTTTTTCAGATAAAAAAACGAGATTTGGTATGTTAGTATATCACATAAATTATTAGAATTGATTGACGTATTCAGTTTTTTTGGTCACTTCCTGTTTTACCGGAAATGACTACGACTTTTGATTTTTAAGATAGAATGACATATCAAGTCAACATTTGACATTTCGCCTAAAAACAAATCGTATTTTAAATTTCAATCTAGAGATCATGTTTGTGCTAAAAACACTAATTTTTAATCAAGGAGCCTTGGAAAAATACCGTATAATCAAATACAAACGGCGTCAGCGATGGCCGAGGCGATGGCTATGGAATGAAGATCACTGTCATTTTATATGTAAAATTATATGGGAAATGTCATCGATCGTCATTTCACGGCCATCGCTGACGCTGTTTTTATTCGATCATACGGTAGTTTTAATCGTCTAATGTTTTTCGTGTCTTATCCTGGCCGGTTAAAAAATGCCCAAATCGTTTTTCAATAATAATTTAATTTTTTCAAATGGAACAAGGGTGGCTCATTAGCATATTTGGAAAAACCATTTTTTCCGAATAATTTGGTACCACACACTTAGTGTTTCGAGTCAAATTGTCGTTATGAACCGTTGTTACAATTTCAAATAAACCATATACGAAAATGTCAAAAGTTGACATATGATATGTCAGTCTATTAAGAGTGTCATTTTCTATCGAATAAAGAGAAATATAAAGAGGGTGCCATTTAAAGATCAAAAGTTGTAGTCATTTCCTGTGAAACAGGAAGTGACCAAAAACAATTGAATATGTCAATCGATTCTAATTTATGTCATATACTAACTTACTAAATATCATTTTTCTATCTGAAAAAATAAAAAAGTTATAGGGGGTGAGCGAGGGGGCGAGCCACTTTGGAGACGCACTCGGTATAACTTATAATATAAGACAGAAGGGATAATTTGACCCTTAAACTTAAAGGCCCTAACCAAAGCTCTAACTCATTTTTCCAAATAAAATTATATTTCCAGAGATGGAAATATAATGAAGATCGCTGTCAATTTCAATGTAAAATTATATAGAGAAAGCCATGCAACTTTTCTAATTCAACTGGACGCCTTTTTTTGTTTTGGATATAGTACATACATGTAATTTGTTGGATATGGTACATACATATAACTTATATTCCGTCCACTTACTTTCAAATATTACTCAATTTTAAATTGTAAAAAGACAAAAAAATGTATACAGATATTTTCGTTCAGATTTTCCAAAAAAAATTCCTGCAAAGAGTTTTCCTACATATGTTAAAAGATTCAAAATATATAAAAATGATTAGCAACAGTTCCCACTAGAATCATAAAAATATTAAGTATAATATTGAAATCCATTATTTAATAAAAATACCAAACAGTAAATTCAATTTTAATTTAACTGAATGTAAAAATTTACAATGTAATGGTACCTATTATAAGTTAGAGATTATGCCCACATTATTTTATAAACTTTAAAATCAAAACACGATTATTATTTCAACAATGCAGATGCCGATATACCGGGTGCATCACAAAAGTGGCTCACCCCTATAACTTTTTTTTTCTCAGACAAAAACGAGATTCGGTATGTGAGTACATGACATAAATTAGGATTGACTGACGTATTCAATTGTTTTCGGTCACTGCCTGTTTCACCGGAAATGACTACAACTTTTGATTTTTAAATGACACCCCTGGTATTTTTTTACTTTATTCAATAGAAAATGACACTCTGAATAGAATGACATATCATATGTCAACTTTTGACATTTTCGCATATGGTTTATTTGGAATTGTAACATGCGGTTCATAACGACAATTTGACTCGAAATAGCAAGTGTGTGGTACCAAATTATTCGTAAAAAATGCTTTTTCCAAATATGCTAATGAGCCACCCTTGTTCCATTTGAAAAAATTGAGATATGATATAAAATACGATTTGGGCATCTTTTAACTAGCCAGGACAAGACACGAAAAATATTGGACGATCATATCTATTTTTCCAAGGCTTCTTGATTAAAAATTAGTGTTTTACACTGCCATGGCACTCTAGATTGAAATTTAAAATACAATTTTTTTAAAGCGAAAATTTCAAAAGTTGACATATGATATGTCATTCTATTCAGAGAAAAAATTGAATTCTGAGAAAAAATAAAAAAGTTATAGGGGTGGGCCACTTTTGAGACGCACCCGGTTATAGAAAAAATAGAGAACTTATAAAAATTGAAATATATTAATTATTGTCCCTATTAATTTTCAGTAACAAAATGAGTTAAATTCGAAATAACTGTTATTATTTTAATAAAATATTAATATAAAATAAAAATAATTAGATAATTTATGAAGTTCTAAAGTTATACTGTAAATGAAAAAGTTCAAAATACTATTTAACAGGGATGGCAACAATTTATCCCTAATGTCATAAAAATATGTAAAAACATTTTATTAAAAAAAATAATAAATATAATTTGAGTCGAATTGGATAAAAAAATACTAATTGAAGTTTTTATTTAATCGAATTTTACCAACTAAATTTTAAATACTATTAAAATATATTAGTTACAGTTATTATTTCTGAAATAATAAAATTATAAAATAGAAGACTTACATGAATTGAAATATTTTATTGTTAATTAATTTCCAGTATGTATTTTAATAAAAATTTATGCTAATTTACCTATATTACAAAATTATTCCAAAACAACTGTCATGTCAACACATCATTACCATTTGATTTGAAGTCGTTGACCAATGACCATACTCTTTTCGTGTGAATAAAAATATTGACTGCTTTTATCGTAAACAAAATATAACCGACAAATCAGCAAGAGCACACGAGTACAGTACTACGTAGGTACTGTCGCGTCTAACGAAGCGCATGAAACTGAGATACCACTGTATACAGCTGGAGCTTTTAACCGGTTTTCTAATTGATCCTAATAAAAGCACTTTGGAAATTGATTTATATAGTCAGATACGGAACGCTTCATTCTTTTTTATCTTTTTAATAACCAGCCAAATTAAGTTAGCGATATAGTATAAATACATATATTCGATACCAATTAAACTTTTAGTTACGTAATTGGGGGCGCGATTTTTAAATTCATTGTTGCCAACCATTCGGCGCCAGGCTGACTAACTGGAATTTAAATTTCCCGCTGAGAATTTAGGTGGTAACTCTGCTGTAAAAACTGTCAAGTTACCACATTTATTTATTTATTTCCTGACATTGTCATTCGTTTTGACACTTTAGTTTTGTATTACGAATTTTTGGTTTAAATGAATTGTGTCGTAATACTTTAACCTTAAAACATTTTACTATAAAAAACTTTTTAATTTTGTTTAAGTGCAAACCTAAAGTATATACTAGGTATTTCAGGAACATATTTTAACTTCTATAGGGTGGCCCAAAAAAGCGTGAGTGGTTTGGGATGATTTTTTTAAATGGAACACCCTGTATATTATTGCATTTTTGGCTTGCTTTCAGACCACTTTACATAATCCTAGGATATGAGTAAATATATTTCCATAGTTTCAGAGATATTAATAAATAAATAAAAAATATATATTTTTCAGCCTTTCTTAACAAACAATATTAAAAATACAAGACCTGCCCTGAAATCAAAACTACATTAGGTATTTAGTTTAGATGGTCTGTACTTACTTTACTATAAATATGGTAATCGTAAATCACACAGGACGTTCAAAATTCTACGCCAACTTTCTAAAATAGAAAAAAAATTTTCTTCGTTATTTTATATAGAACTTATATATTATTTTTTCAATAGATGGAGAACTAAGAAATGAACATTTTTTGTATTTAGAGTATTTCAAAATTTGGTTTCGCAGATATTTGCGGTTTTATATTTCATATGGCATTTTCCACAGTAAATTTTAATCAAAGCCACCCAATAATTTTTCTTTCGTATTTTACCTTGAGAGAGCCATATGAAATAATACTGCGTGTATCTGCGAAACCATTAAAAATTTTGAAATACATTAAATACAAAAAATGTTCATTTTTTAATTGTCCATCTACCAAAAAAATAATATACAGACTAAAAAAACAAAGAAAAATTATTTTATATTTTAGAAAGTTTGGCGTAGAATTTTGAACATCCTGTATGATTTAAGATTGCGACATTTATAGCAAAGTAAGTTTAGACCATCTAAAGAAAATACCTAATATAGTTTTGGTTTCAGAACAGTTCTAGTATTTTTAATATTTTTTTTAAGAATGGCTGAAAAATATAGATTTTTTATTTATTTAGATATTAATATCTCTGAGACTATCGAAAAATATTTACTCATATCTTAGGATTATGTAAAGCAACCTAAACGGAAGCTAAAAATACAATAATATACAGGGTGTCCCATTTAAAAAAATCATCCCGATCTACTCAAACTTTTTTGAGCCACCCTATAGAAGTTAAAATATTTTCCTGAAACAGATCCTTGTACATACTTTAGGTTTACACTTAAACAAAATTTCCAAATTTTTTATTCTAGGAGCTACAGATGCCCGACGCACTATTGCCGGACCCTGTATATTTTTAATCAATTTATTTTTGTTTCCTAAAATACTTTGATTAAAAGAAATGTGGACGGCGCGCCGCTGTGCCGGTCAAGCTTAATCACGTGACTAAAAGTTTTTGGTATGATCTTTGCCTCATGGTTGTTATTTATTTATAGGTAGTAGATTAATTTTACAAGAAAAAAAACGGCAAAGAAAAAATATGTTTCTTTTATCGAGATCTGAAAATATTTGCACTTATTTAAGACTTACCCTGTATAGAGTAGTTTCAACCTCAGAAATACGATCAGGTTTTTTTTTGCACAATTTTTTTTTTAAAATTTGAAATTTTTCTTAGTTTATAGTGAAAAACCATAATTTCTTGATAATATGCCAACATAGGTAGTAGATCAAATTTACAAAAAAGAAACCCCAGAAAAGATCCAGTGGTTCTAAAAATTTAAGCGAAAAATATTTCTTTGGAAATTTTCAAAGTAAACTCGGTTATTTTGGACTTATTTGAAAAACAGTAAAGAAAAAATATGTTGTTTTATCGAGATCTACCAGCCCTGAAGATATTTGCACTTATTTAAGACTCACTCTGTATACATAATTGTATCTATAAGCTTGATTTTCATGCATCCGTTGTCCGACGATACGTTTATTTTATACGATATTAATTTTATTGATTGTATTTAAAGGCTTCGATTGGTTAATCGTTTCTAACCAATCAAACCCTTTAAATACAACCAATGAAATTAATATCGTATCAACGTATCGTCGCACAGTGCTTCGTCCCATGGACAAAAATCGAAAAAAAAAGTTAACATTTAATAATATCTGAATATGTAATTTTATACTTATAGCAATGTTCAACCATCCTGTATATTAATTTTCATAAACAGCGTTTTTTGTTAGCAAATATTTTCACTAAAAATAAATTTTGCGATCATTATCTTATATCAGTGAAAAGAATAACATTCATAGTAGTTCTGTATATGGAGTTAAACGGTACGTACTTAATTGAAAGCCACTATGCTTAAACAAGGTATGTACTTTAAATTTATTTCTAAACAAGTTCGTGATTGTTTAATTTTTATTTATTTTTTAAGATGATTCTTAAATGGGTATAAAAATTTTACGTTTTCAAACTTCAAAAAGGCATTTAATAAAAACATATCAAAACATATCGTATTTATTGAATATTTTTGTTGTCATATTCATACACTTTTAATTTTTGTATAGTTCACCTGCGTCTGCTTGCGACGAACTTTATTTTATAATACTTTTCAGATGGAGTAAAATTGATTAGCAATGCCGATCTGGTTAATACATGGCTTGATCATAAGGACAAGAACTCAAAATTATTTGTATTTCAAAAAATGTGTTCTTTATTAGATATTGATGAACCTTCCAGTCAAATGAGACACCACTTGTGCCTGAAAAAGCCCACTATGTTGGAGCGAAACGTCGCATAAAAAAGTTTCCATCTTTCAATTTATTATAAAACCTCATACCCAAAAAAAAGAAAAAATAATATATGGATACGGTCTATTAAAGAGGTAACTATTAACATCCGAACCCCTCATACCGACAAAATGAACAGTAACAACGCGAAAAAGTAACATATTAGAAAATGATGTACAGAAATATCTTATATGTGAGGATATTTCATCTACCTGTAATATGGATACTATAAATTTGGAAGATTCTGTCAGCAGTGATTCTTCTGAATCAGAGTAGTTACGATCTATGCATTTTGTTGTCCTAAAGTAAATTTATAGTATCTTAAGTTTTCTTTTTAATTAAATATAGCATTAATGTTTCTTTTTCATTAAAGAAAAACATTTTTATCTTATATTAGGCTTATATTGTAGGAATCATGTTCTAATATTATTTCAATTATTTTTTATCACAGGGATTTATTTAATACTTACACCGTTTTCATGCTATAAATTATTATTTCCTTAGATAGAACACAGCTACAACATTTTTATTATTTATAAGATTTTTTTTCATAAACGTGGGACTAGGAACATCATCATTTAGTACAATGAAAGTACTCATCATTTGTGTCAAATAAACCTAGTTTGAATAAATTGCCTACAATAAAAGAGAAGTTTTGCATTTTTGTCCTCTAGAACCATATGTTCGAAGCACTGTGCGTCGGACAACAGATGTATGAAAATCAAGCTTTACTAGTATAATACTGAAAAAGAATATTACTTATACCCTATCCTCTCTGTAATTTCGCAGAATTTCATATATAACAGACTACCATTAATTACAAGATTAACTCACATCCCATGTAATGACAAAATAAAAGAGTAAATGAGATTGTATTATTGTATAGTCACGCGACAAGCATGTGACCGACCATTCATTAACTATTTTTAATATATGCATTTTGAATTAATTATACATTACTTGATCCTTATATTCAATAGGCAATTAAAAAAAACATACGATTTTTCATAGATACACGTAAGTACTGGCATTTTTATGTTGCAAATTTTGTTTTAATAATAAAAAAATTTATAACAGTGACAGTTAGTGTCTGTTATTCTAATTCAAAAGTAAAGCTGTCAATTTTTCAATGATCCAGGAAAGCCATTCCTTCTTTCGCTAAACGGATTTTTTTAACTACTTTTATTAAATCAACTAACCATTTATTAAAAGGTGGCAGTAGAGAAGTAACTTTATCTATTTTACATAGAAAAAAAAAATAAACTCCGACAAAGGCCGATTTTTCAGTATTTCAAAACAAATTATTTTCTAATAAGAAAAGAAAATACGATCACTGCCAAAAATAAAAATAATAATTAAAGGAATTGGATATACTTTTAATTAAAAAATATAAAAATCCATATAATCAATAAAATGAAAAATATAGGAAATAATATACATGTACTGATTTCTTTCGAAAATCGACATCTACGAAACTATGAATCCTTCCTGGACACACACGGTACATTGTGAGACAGAAAATTGTAGAGAGAAACAAGCCCTATAACATAGGATACAACATTTTAATAAACAGTGCTTTCCATAAAATCAATAAAATGAAAAATATACGAAATAATATACTGATTTCTTTCGAAAATCGACAACTATGAAACTATGAACCCTTCCCGGACAAAAACGGTACATTGTGAGACAGGAAATTGTAGAGAGAAACAATCCCTATAACATAGGATACAACATTTTAATGAACAGTGCTTTCCATAAAATCAATAAAATAAAAAATATACGAAATAACATATATGTACTGATTTCTTTCGAAAATCGACAACTATGAAACTATGAACCCTTCCCGGACACAAACGGTACATTGTGAGACAGGAAATTGTAGAGAAAAATAAGCCCTATAACATAGGATACAACATTTTAA